CATGCTGGAGAAGGTGTGGAGAAAAGGGAACCCTCCCACACTGTTGGTGGGAATGTAAATTGGTGCAGCCACTACAGAAAACAGAATGAAGCTTCCTTAAAAAACTAAAAGTAGAGTTGCCATATGATCCAGAAATTCCACTCCTGGGCATATATCCAGAAAAGATGAAAACTCTAATTCAAAAAGATACATGCACCCCAATGTTCACAGTGGCACTATTTACAATAGCCAAAACATGGGAGCAACCTAAGTGTCCATCAACAGATGAATGGATAAAGAAGATATTATATAGACACACAATGGAATACTAGTCAGCCATAAAAAAGAGCGAAGTAATGCCATTTGCCGCAACATGGATGGCCCTAGAGATTACCATACTAAGTGAAGTAAGTCAGAGAAAGACAAATATCATATATCACTTATATGTGAATCTAAAATATAATACAAATGAACATATTTACAAAACAGAAACAGACTCGCAGACATAGAAAACAAACTTATGGTTACCAAAGGGGGAATAAATTAGGAGTTTGAGATTAACAGATATACACCACTACATATAAACTGTATAAACTGTAAGGGCCTACTTTACAGCTATACAGGGAAATATATTCAATATCCTGTAATAAACCATAATGGAAAAGAATCTAAAAAAGAATATATATATAACTGAATCACTTTGCTGTACACCTAAAACTAATACAATGTTGTCAATCAACTATACTTCAATAGAAAGAAAGAAAAGAAACAAAGAGAGAGAAAAGAGAAGAAACAAAGGGAGACAGAAAGGGGAAGGAAGGGAGAGAGGAAGGGAGGGAGGGAGTTACATGTTGAGCTAGGGGTGTGCTGATGGTCCCTAAAACGTGAGTCTGCAGCCTGGGGAGAGGAGGTTTGCACTGGTGATCTGTGATCACCAAACCACAGGAATAAATGGACTCTCCAAGGGAGAGTGCAGTTTTCAAAGTTTTGATAAATAACACAACAACCAATGCATTTTGCTTTTCATTTCTTTCCAGGACACGCTAGCCTGAGGAGAACAGATGCCCGGGCCTTTGAAGGCTCCGTGCTCCAAGATGCCAAGAGAAGAGGAGACCAAGGAGACACGGGGCAGCCATCCTCAAACGACAGGGGCTGCCTCGTGGGAAACACAGGCACCTCTTTTCCCTACTCCAGAAGAGAGGCGGGCTGAGTGGAATTTTCAGAGAGGCCAGTTTCCTCTCAGTGGAAGGGCAGACTTTCTAGAACTCACACTGCCCAGCCAGGGAGAGCCTCCCTCAAGAGACAGTGAGTCCCGGTGACAGGCCGGCCCACAGAGGCTGGAGGGGCCTCCTGCACTGGTGAGGGGTGCGCCCCCTCCTGTCACCTCTGAGGACCTACCGAGCCTCAGGTGCATGACTTGAAGCCAGAGTTTGGTTGAGAGGTTCCCAATAATGTTTCAGAGTCTTCTTTCTCAAAAACACAAGTTGTCCAAACTAATAACAAATACGAACACTATTCTAGAAGGTACGCCTAGCCTCCTGTGTGTGCTGGGCCAGGGCCAGGGCCAGGGGCCTGGATGTGAGCGACTGGGGCAGGGCTGGGGGGAGGTGGAAACACGGTCATCTGGTTCCTGCTAAAATTTAGCCAAGTGACCATTAACTGGTGTTGATGAGGAAGTGACGAGCATATCCTTAACACAGGCCCCTGACTTCACCCCACGGAGGAGAGGAGCCATACGCTCACCCTGCCCTACTTCCCAACAGATAAGCAGCAGCTGGCCTTTCCCTACTGAAGAGGCTTTCCAAGCGTCCCCTCTGGATCAGCACCGGCCATCACGCTTGGGATAACCCTCCCCCCACTCTCAGGAAGCAGGTCCCCCAGACGGCGGGCACCAACCGCAATCAGAGAATTACAGAATCGGGAGGGGAGGGGGGCGGGACGGGTGCTTAGGGTCCCCAATGAACAGATGTGGAAACTTGAGGCCCAAGACCACAGAGCTGAGTCATGGTCTAAAAGGCTTTGGAAACCAGATAGCTTGAATCCAGCATTCTTTCATTCAAAATATGCCCTGCAGACACCTGCTCTCTGTCAGACACCGTGGGTCCCTGGAAATACAAAGATTAACAGCGGGCTTCCCTGGTGGCGCAGTGGTTGAGAGTCCGCCTGCCGACGCAGGGTTCGTGCCCCGATCCGGGAGGATCCCAAATGCCGCAGAGCGACTGGGCCCGTGAGCCATGGCCGCTGAGCCTGCGTGTCCGGAGCCTGTGCTCCACGGCGGGAAAGGCCATGGCAGTGAGAGGCCCACGTATGGCAAAAAAAAAAAAAAAAGATTAACAGCATCATTGTCCCTGAGGGTGGGGGAAAGGATACAGAACAGAAAATCACAATATGGTCAGGTGAGTGCATACAAGGGTCCTGCTGACTGTCTGGGCCCAAACCGTTCCCATTTCCCTCTGGCAGGAGAAGGTCCCACTAGACCTTTCCAGAAGAAAGAACTTCACTGGACAGGTAAGAGGCACAGAGGGAGCCAGGTTCTGGTGACTCCCCACGTGACAGTGGGCCAGGGAGGATAAGGGGCTGGGCGGCGGGAGCTGAGAGTGCAGGAAGGGCCGGGCTAGAGCAGGGAGGAAGTCCAACCACCTGCCAGTACCGGGCAGTTGTGACAGTGACCATCTGGTGGGCACAGCTTGTACCTGGACGAGGTCCAGCTGGAAGCAGTGGGACAGAGGTCACAGGAAAGAGACCAGTTTCCACTTCATAAAGGCCCACTCTGCACTGTCAACTGTTACCCCCCCTGCTTATGAGTTGGGTGATATGACTTCCATACTTCAGATGCGGAAACCGATGCAGCCCAGAGAAGTTGTTATTGGCTCAAGGTCATTCAGGCTGAAGTGTCTGAGCCAGGATTTAATGCCACTGACTTCACTTTGTTTCTCCAAACTGTGAGTGTCAGGCCAAGACAAGTGACTGAAAAGCATCCTCTGCTGCCCATAATTAGGGTGAAGCAGAGACTGGCTATGAGATGAGGATGGACAAAGTGTGCCCAGCGAGGTGCTAGCCTATCAGCATCACGGCCCTGCCACCAGGCCAGAACTGAGGTCACAACTGCAGTTGGGTGGGATCAGGTCTGAGAGCCAAGGCTGCAAGCCCTAGAGGGAGGTGGGGTAGGACCCCAAGAGAATCAGAGGGAGGGATGCCTGGCTCTTCCCATCCCAATGCCTGGAGTGGAAAGCAGCAGCAGTCAGGTTGAGTGGAACCGTCGTGCGGGTGTGAGGCTGAGATCAGCTCCTCTCCCCTCCCTCAAGCCTGGATCACAGATGAGTTCATGACTCTGCCTTTTTCTCTGGCCTGTGCAACCCCTCTGCACAGGTCAAGGTGATACACAGTAGTATAGACGCCCTCTAGATGAGGGTTCAGGGGCTCAGAGAAGTTGAGGAGATACATGGGTCCCACAGCTGGTTTGGGGTGGGGTGAACCCAGCCTGGAGCCCCGACTGTGACTCATGGTCCTGTCTCTGATCCTGGCCCGTTCCTCCTGCCTGTACTCCTGGCTCCTTTCTGGGGTTGACTGGACCACGGTCTGGGTTAAAGCCCACCTGCGTTGCCCAGGTCAGACCCCACGAAGGAAGCTGCTTGGTGGTGTCTGGGACTCTCAGCCTCCCCACACCTGTGACCCCCCCAGAGATTAAACAGTCCCCACCTTCTAGATTAGTGTCCTCTGGTTATCAACAGAGTGGAGGTAAGGTGGCCTGGAGCCAGGGCTCCCACACCCAGGCCAGCCGCAGAGGTCCCTGACACCCAGCGGCAAAGCAGAGCCCCTCCAGGAGCAGGAGACACTGGCCCATCTCTGCCTGTGCAGCCGCTCAGCCCAGAAACGCTGAGTGACAAAAGCGATGAGATTTGAAGTGTTTTACAGTTTACAGAGCTCTCTCATACGCTCCCCATTCATCCTCACAACGACCCATAAATGGCAGAATAAAACCGCCATGTTCCAGACGAGGAAAAGTTCACATGTTCCAGTCCAGAAAGGTCTCAGGGCTGGCCAAAGACACGCTGTAAGAAGAGGTCATGGGCGAGACTCGGCCCCAGCTTTTCTGACTCTGAGTTCTGGTCTTTGTCAATTTCTTGCCTGCTGCCCAGATGTGGATCTATCTGTGCTCCTCCAGCCAAATGACAGGAGTTATATTTAGATGCGTATGCATGTGAGAAAAAACATCTGGATACTTTAGAACTACCCAGGGCCCCAGCAGAGCAGGTCAGCCTGAAGGGCCCAGTGAGAGGGAGACCCATTGTCATGAGAAGATGCTACAGATATGCTCACTCCTGCCTGCCCTTCCCAGCCCAGGTCGAACCATCCTCCCTACATCGGCCAAACTGGAGTGCACCCCAGAGGTTAAGCCAATACCTCTCTGGGTGCCAAGTGACTCCTGGACAGCAAGAAACAGAGGCCTCTTCAACTCCAGCAGCTTCTATTCTATCTAGAAAATGTCTCCTCCCTGGCAGAGTCCAGTGGGAGCAAAGTCTACACCAGTCAGAAATACAGATTCCCGGTGGTGTCTGGTGCAGTGTCTGTGTGTGTGTGTGTGTGTGTGTGTGTGTGTGTGTGTGTGTGTGTGTGTGTGTATGCAGGGGCACAGCAGGCAGGTCTGTTTCACTTGGGGGACTCAGTGGCTCAAGTTCAGAAAGGATCCAGCAAGAGATAGAAAGGGCAAAGCAAGTCTCACCGTAGAATGGTGCAGAATGAAAATTCTAAGCAGGACTGCCCCCCAACTCATGAAGTCGCGTTTGCCTCTGGGATCCCCACTTGAAGATAATGCCACAGTTGTTCTAAAGCCACAGGACAGCCTCACAATTCCCTCTCCCACGAGGGTCCAAACCAAAAGAGAAGATCCACAATCTCAGATACCTTTTGCTGAAATCACCCAAGTAGCTACTGAAAGGGTAGGTTTGGGAGGGGGGACGGGCTCAGCCTGGAGCAAAGGAATAGCCCCTGCATGAAGGGGTGTGGGCGAGGGCACCTACCTGGACTTCACGTGTGTGATAGGCGATGATCAAACCCAAAAGGATGATGGTGGACAGACTGATAAGGCATTTCAGGGCCAGTGAAAACATGGAATCCTGCAGGAGAAAGGGAAAGAGAGGATTAGGGAAATCCGGGAGGGAGCATCTCATTTTACTCTGAGGCTGTGTTAAGGGGTGGGGGTGAGGGGCAGTGAAGGCAAAGGAAAGACTGTCACCAGCGCCTCCTGGGAGCAGGATACAGCACAAAGGTAGCCTGAGCCCCGAAAGTACCTTGGGCTGGGCCCTGGGCCGGCTCCGTCTCAGCCGCTGCCCTCTGAGCCTCTGTTTTCTAGGGTTAAATCATATTTGCATTCCTGCGATGAACCCTGCTTGGGCGTGATGTATTCTGTTTGTTATACATGCCTAGACTCGGTTTGCTGATGTGTTGTTTAGAATATTTGCCTCCATGCTCAGAAGTCACATGAACATAATTCTTTTTGATGCTGCTGTTATATGGTTTGGGCATCAATACTGTGCCAGCTTGAGCCTCCCTTTTCTCTTAACAAACCTGAACCAGAGGCTTCCGAGGTCCCTTCCATCTCTGACAATGCAGAGTTCTTTCAGGAATGAATGAGAATGTCCTGGCAGCAGCTCTCATCTCCCGTTTTAGGGCCAAGGGCGGGGAGGGAAGCGAGGGTGGCAGAGGAGCTACTGGAAAGAGAAGGGGGCCGAGCACAGGAGCAGAGAGGGGTCCTGGGCAGGAGAAGGGCCCTGAGGGTCCCTCCAGCTGAGGCTGGGGGAAACAGGGTGGGCCACTTGCCTTCACTGCAGTCCTCCAGCCCCAGGGCAGCTTAGGGGACCCACGTGGTTAGCAGCAAGAGCTCTGGGACCAGCCAACAGAATCCAAACCCTGACGTAGCCACTTACTAGCCACGTAACCTCAGTCTGCTCACTCCATCTCTCTGTGCTCGGTTGCCTCAGACATCAGATGGGGACAACATCAGTACCTACGTCTCAGGGCTGCTGTGAAGGATAAAGGCATTTGTCTATGTAAAGTGTCTAGCCCAGTGCCAGGCCCTGTGAGGGCTGGCTACTATCATCTACCTCACCTCCTCTACAGGGCTGGTGCCTCCTGGGCATTTGGAAGCCAGGGAGTAGAGGCAGCTCCCAGTCCCAAAGGAAGGCAGGAACACAGCCCTGAGCAAAGGCAGCAGAAAGCCAGGCAGTACTTCCAAGCACTGTGTTGTGGCTTCACGTATCCTGAGAGAGGCACGCCACATGAGAAACAGCCCCCGTGCTCCAGAATCATAACATGCTTGATGTCTGCAAAGCACCTTAAAGTTTACAAGGTGGTTTCACATCTTGTTCTCATCCATCCTTGAGACAGCCCTTGGCCTCTGGCCCAGCTTTATAGATATTACAGGCAGAGGCTCAGAGAGGTGAGTGGCTCATACCAGAGTCCAAAGCCAAGACCTCTGACTCTCAGCCTGACTCCCAGCCCAGAGCACTGCCCGCACCCCTCAGGCCCACTCTCAATGGGAAACAGTAAAAATGTGAGAAGTGCCCATTTACACAGACCCAAATGACTACATAAGACGATAATGGAAGGTGTTTCGAAGGTGAGACATGATTAATTACCACATGAAACCTACAATAGAGCTAGGGAGGGAGACATCACAGTCCAAGAAAGCAAGCTTTCAGAGACAGAGGGAGAGGTGGCTGAGATCTCCAGCGTTGGGGGGGGGGGGGTGTCCAATATGGCAGCCACTTAGAGTCAGTGGAGGGCTTGGACTTAAACCCAGGACTCCCAGATGCCCAAGTCCCTGTTCTCAACCACCCTCTGCAGGCTGAGATGGAAAGAAAGCAGCTCTCCCTGGTGTCTGCCAATCTACCATTCATTTATTTGATATAGTTTTGGGGCCCACTCTGCGCCAGACACAAGCTAGTGCTGGGGACCCAAGGGAGAACTAGTGAAGGAGCTCATTCATTCTTTCTTTCTTTCATGACGATTTCAACAACTTCCCATTTCTTGAGCACCTGCTAGATGTCCAACAGTGTGCTGGATACTGCAGGATATTTATAGAGGGGCCCTGCCCACCACAAGTTTCCAATCTGGCTTATACACAAACCCCAGCTTTCTACACTGTACAGGATCATCCAGCTGTGGGGAAAATTCTCCATTCTGCCCTGCCCAGAGACAACAGTCTAAGCATAATCCACTTTTCATTTAGCCTCTTGCATGTTCTACACTTAATGAAGAGCAGCCTGCAATCATTTACTCAGTGCACATGCACAGAGGTGCCTTGGGGGGTATTCTGCTGCTCCAGTTAAGGGCCCAAAGGAAAACAGAACACAGTTCCAGCCCTCAGGAAGGTTCCACTCTTCGAAAGCACTATTGGATGCCTGAAACACCACCCAAAGCGCAAGACCGACTGGGGCTGAAGAGAGCAGGTGGTGAATTCAGGGACACTCAGATACTTTTAGGACAAGACTACCTCCCTATAGGAATCAACTGGGGACAGATCATGATGTTTTTGAGCCAGAAATGACCATAACTTTCTTCTCAAAGGGGTCTGACATCTGGGGAGCATCATGCCTCCCCAGGGAAGGATTTGGGATCAGCTGCACATTTCAAACTTTAATTTGTTTCTTTTGGCAGAAAGTAACTGAAATCAGAATCCAAGTCTATTTCCAACATTTTTAGAGGAAGAGGTGAAGGGAAAGGGGCCAGATGCTGTCTCTTCTCCTTTGAGCTTCTTCCTTTTGTTCTAAACCTCAAAGCGTTTACATAAGAGTCAACTCCACCTGCTTCTTCGTTTTGGTCAGTGAAATCTCATCGGCCAGTCCCAGCCCCATAGGGAGATGCGTGTGCACTGGATCAGTGGGAATGCTCATTACTTCACAGATTTCCTTGCATTCTCTATCAATCACATGTCAATAAAAATTAAACCATCAACCATTTTTAATAGCAGGAAAATACGTCAAAGAAGTCTGGCTGGATTAGAAATGTTTTCTATTTGTTAAAATGTTGAATTATCATCTTTTCTTTTCTGTCTGAACTCCAGTGAAGCTTGAAATTGATATGGTTCTTTGGGTGATGGCAGCAACTCAGGGCTGGCTAATTAGCTGCCACACACCACATGTGTGTATGTACACACACCTGCTCAGCCCCCACTCACTGCTATCTAAGGGCCAAAGGGACTCATAGGGCTGGAAGGGAGTCCTGTGGTCAACTGCTCAACACTTCTCTCCTGCAACTCAGAATTTTTCAATAGAGTAATATCCTTCATACACAGCAATGCTTAAGAATTATATCCCAACAGATGAGAGTTGTTTTTTTAAAGCCATTTATTCCTAAATGTCCCAAAATATTAGAGTGGGTAAGTAAATTGGAGAATAGCCAGTGATGGAACACTATGTTGCCACTTAAAGCCACTTCTGCAGAGAATATTTGAAGATATCAGGAAAGGATCATGATATAATATCAAGTCAAAAACCCAGACCCCAAAACTGTAAATATGGTATATTTCCAATTATTTTTTAATTTTTTACTTTTTTAATGTAAAAAAAGACTGCAAATATATAGTGTCATTCTATAAAGTGTCAGGGTACACAGTTGTATTACCTCTGATGATCTGAGTACAACAGGTGCTTAATAAGTGCTTCTTGAAACTACTTAATAATAGTACTTTTATTTTTACCTAACATTTATTAAGTACTGACTACATACCAGGTCCCAGACTATGCCTTCTATACAGATTACTTCGCATTCTCACCCTACAGATGAGGTCATAATGTCTCCATTTTACTGATTAAAAAACAAAACAAAACAAAACAAAACTGAGGGTCATAGAGACAAAGTGACTTTTCCAAGGTCATACAGCTAGCCCAGACTTTAGCTATATATCAGATTTTTCTATATACCACGCTTCCCCCCTGCCTTCAAAACGAACTAGGCTCCCGTGTGAGATAGTGAGTTCCTGTCACCTTAGTAGAGGCTGGCTACAGCCATCAGGGGTGCTGTAGAGGAGATTCCTAGCAGGGAAGGAGGGTGCACCACATTTCTGCAAGATGCCCCTATCCACGTGGTCCTGTTCTGTTCCAAGCCATGAGCCAGCCCTTCACAGATCTGTGACTTGTTGACGACAACAACCCGTTATAAAGCGCTACTGTAGGGGCCTACCATGCAAGGTGGACATCGTCAACCCACTCTTACAGAGAAGGAAACTGAGGCGCCAAGAAGTTACCTAATTTGTCCAAGGACATGGCCAACAAATGGCCAAGTCAGGACTGAAGAAGCCAGGATTTACTCCAGATCATCTACTTCCAGGTTCTGTGCCCTGCCTGTGCACCAACACCCCACCTGCCCGGCTGGTCAGGCCTTTCCAGCCTCCAATTTCTTCAGTGAGGCTTCTCAGAACTGCTCTAGCCCTTCCTCCCCGAGGCTGTGCAGACTGTGATGGAGTGTGTTCCCAGCTTCTGAGCCAGCCATATAAATTGCTCTCCCGGCCGCCCTGCAGCTTCCAAAGACAAGCCAGAATTGTAATGATTATGGTAGATTTTCCAGAGACTTTGAAGTTCTAAATGTATTATATTGTTTGGAACATTTGAAAATAACAGAAAACCATGCAGGCAGAGTCCTAGAGGGGCATTGAACAGAAGTTAAATACCAGGTAGAGACGTGCAGGTGCCTTCCCCAAAGTATGTGTGTGTGTGTGTGTGCGCGCGCGCGTGTGTGTGCGTGCGTGCGTGTGTGTACATATGTGATCCATTCATGATCTTTGTCACTGGCTGGAACCCCCAAAGGGGAAGAGGTAATATCATCTAAAGTCTGTATCTACTGAATTAAGATTTACGTTTTGTGCATTCGACTTGGGAAATAATTGATTTAGAAATCTTTTCAGTTTAATAAGGTCAACTTTTCCTTCAATTTCATGGAGAGGCTCCAAAATTGATTGACATTCAGCATCAGCTTAGTACTGTGGCTCTGTAATGGTTGTCCTAATTAGACACTCTTGCTAATTAACGCTATGCAAATTAAAACCAGCCCCTTATCCACTGGCCAGGAAGACTGCATTCGTGATTGCTGTTCTCTGCGGAGACGGAGCTTCTTTCCT